TATATATATATATATATATATTTATCATCATAATTCAGTAATTAACAAATTTAAACATTAATATTGAGTCTGTCAACTATTTCGAAACGAAATAGAACTCGTTTTAAACAGAATATCGTTTTTATGTTTAGATTTCTGCGAAACCCAACAGAGTTGAAGAACATAAAGAACATATCTCAGCTGCGTCAGCAAATGCGGATAAAGTCAGAGCCGGAAGAAGAAGGCGGAAGTGGCGTCGAGCCGGAAATCGATATGCCAACAGACCTCTCGATGTCTAGTATGAGTCAGCCATCCAGCGAGCAACAACAACAGCAACAACCTCTATCTCTTCTCGATCCACCTGTAAAATATAGAAGTCATGCGTACAATCTCGTAAAAACCAATCAAGAATCGGAAGAGCAAAAGTGACGTGAAACGTAGCACTAATGTGACTGTCCGTTTTAAATGCTGACAAGATTAACATATTTTATGTTATGCACATACTCGTTATTTGATTCGAAATAGTCAGTTTCGAAATAATGCGAAGAGATTTACTTTTAACTATATGTCAAGTATATTGACAAAATTGTTGACAGAATGTTCGTTTTCGGAATAATACATTTCTAGAGATATTTTTTGCCGTTTAAGAATCACTTAAGGTCATCAGCGCCATTGTTCAAATAATAAAGCTTGCGAGAAAGTTGTTAGGTTATAAATTAGTAACTATTGTATCATCAACGTATCTCCGGAATTAATATATGATAAAAGACTGACAAATAAAATATTGTGCGAGTTATGTATCAAAATATATAAGCTACGAGGAGAATAATTTTGAAAGCAACATTGTGTAATGTCAATGATAAGTTGACTTGCCTTGAATCTAACTATTAGTACTACACTAATTATTAAAACTAATTATTAATACTACATCATAATGCTTACCTGGTTCATGGTTTATTTGTCAACTTTATTTCGATATTCGACCGCAACTTCGAAAACGTCCATCGATTTTGAATCGGCTCGAAGATCGAGCAATCAACAAGCGGTTCATCGATTTCCATGTGTTTCAAATAGATAATTGGCTGTTCAGAATCTTATTAAAGAGTGTCAGGAGCCAATTGTGCTACAATTGTGGAGGACGCTTCGATGAAGCTGAACTTTCGCGGATATTCCGCCATTTGTTTTCCATCCTTCGTGTTAACACACGTACGCGAGTGTGAAACGTTTCTCGCTTCTACAACGAACTACTTTAGAAATGCTTATAGAGCATTATCGACGAACGTACAAAACGGTGTTCGGGAAACGATCGAGATATTTTATTCCAAAGTTATTCTGTGATGTAAACTTTAGCTTGAAAGTAAATTTCTCGGAGTAACATATACTTAGTTGTAACTAGAGATTGAATTTATTGAACATTTTTTTATTTGAACAAAAGAACTTGTTATGAAAGATTTTTATGTAAGATTAACAATTATATGTAATATATAGTTCTATCCTTTAAAGAGGATACAATATTATGCGATCCATTTTGTAAATACTTAAAATCGATGAAATTTCAAAGTTGGTTTCCCGTTGCACCGACTCAGTTGTGCCAATCTAATCGTCGGTAATACATATATATGCGCGTTTAGTTTAGCGTTCTGTATACAAAGAAACAAAGGGAAAAAACGTGTCTATCGTTTTGAAATAATTAAAACGATATTGAGGATCGTTTACATCCCTAAATCGTAGATACGTGTAAATAAGT